ATCCTATCAGTCTGCAAAGCTCCAGCTGAAACATCACTTCTAATTAAGAAGCTCCCCCAGATTTTCCAGGAAGCATCACTTCTGAACTTGACAACTTTTGTACTCTTATAATCTGTATTATCTCTATAGCCCATCCTTTTTAAATATATTTTATTGATTTTTTTTTTACAGAGAGGATGGGAAAAGGAGAGTTAGAAACATTGATGAGAGAGAAACATCAATCAGCTGCCTCCTGCAGACTCCCTACTGGGGATGTGCCCGCAACCAAGGTACATGCCCTTAATCAGAATCGAACCTGGGACCCTTCAGTCCACAAGCCGACACTCTATCCACTGAACCAGTGTTTCCCAAACTTTTGACATATGTGTATCCCTTCTATAATTTTCGTAACGCTGAGTACCCCTTGTACTCATGAGAACGTAGAATTAGGTGCAGCTAAGCACGGTGCAGTGCATATCCCCACCAAACTCTTCCCGTACCCCTGAGGGTATGCGTACTACACTTTGGGAAACACTGCCGGGAGCCAAACCAATTAAGGCTCAACTTTTCTTTTCTATTTTTGTCCCTCTTAATCTTCTCCATTAGATACTGAATAATTTGTAGGAAGAAAAGGCTCCAATGCATTAATTTCCCTAAAAACACCTACTAAAGTCTTATATAAAGAAATCTGTTTACACTGAAATACCCTTTTTCTATAAAGTACTTTGAAACTTCATAAACAGTCACTGGTTAAATATTCGTAAGTGGTGAAGTGATATTGAGAGTGACTACTTTCGACTCCTATTTACCTGCCAGTCACCTGTTCAATGGGAACATTATGGATAGGAATTGAAAAAGAAGTAAAGTGGCAATCAAAGTTAGAAGAGGAATAAGCAAGACCTTAAGTATATACAAACTTGTCACATCAAATTTTAAAAGTCAAATGATAAAGAAACCAATTTATATTATAAAACTTGAAAGCCCTAAACTTAAAGAATCATCCATTGAAGATGTATGTCAATAAGGCATAATGTCCAACTCTAAAATATTATAAATCCTTAAACAATATAGGGAGCAAATTCCTAAGGCAGAAATTCATGACTGTCAATTCAGGAAATCCTGTTTGAATGAATTTACAAATATATAAAGAAACATAAAAGATTTTACAGTTAGAAATGTAACCTTAAATGCTAAACGTGCTCAAGGGAGCAGGTTTGGCAAACCATGGCCCACAGACCAAATCCAGTCTGCCACCTGCCTTTGGTGGTGTTTATAAAATTAATTTTAAAAATTCAAAAGGTTATTTCATGACATATGAAAATGATATGAAATACGAATTTCAGTGTCCACAAATAAAGTTTTATTGGAACATAGCCACATTATTTCATTGTTTATGGCTGCTTCAGTGATACAATGGTAGAGACTATATGGCCCACAATGCCCAAGATGATATTTACTATATGGCCCTTTACAGAAAAAGTTTGCCAACCCCTCAGCTATAGAGAAAAGATTTCAAGTCAGAGTAAGAGAGCTGCAGGGACCTGGGACTATATGAAGGGAATCAAATAGCAGAGACTTCAGCTTCCAACCACAGAATAACCAGGAATAGGATTTACCCTCCTACCTTAGACAATCAGAAAGCTGGTGTAAAAAAATGTGAAATAATTTTTTTCAGGCATTCTATACCAAGCAGCATAGAACCACAACCCCTGGTGGAAGAACAACAAGTAGATAAGCCTTATAATTGCCCTGACTCTGCCTAGAGGCACACTCCAAACTACAGAGGGATGGGAATTCTAAGCAGGGCACAAATGTGTTCCTGAGCTGAAGACAGGTACTGGAGATCAGAGAGTTTGAGGAAGCTGAAAGTTGCAGGGCCAAGTTCTGGAAAGGAGAGAGCTACACAGAAATGCATAGAGTCAATGAGTCTTCACGGAGTATTAAGATATACATGTACTAGTATAGAGTGAAACTCCAGTTAGCTGGACAAAGAATGGCCCAGGAACTATGAATAGAATGGTCCCCAGAGTTCACATGGAGCTGCAAATTTGTTTCAGTTCCCACTGGCCATATTGGAGAGTCCACACTAATTACTCAGTGCATTCAGTAGAGACCCCAAATGGGCCACACCTATTAGTGGAACTAAACTATCCTAGGGAAAAACTACTTGAGACAGCATGAAACTTAAAAACAAGCTTTAAAATGATCAAACTGAACTGCAAGTCAATTAACTGACAACCAGAACAAAGGCCCAACAAAATCTAGGCACCCAACAACATAAAATACAAAATGTCCAGCATTCAATCAAAACTTAGTGGGCATGCAAAAAAGCAAGGAAATGTGACCCATAACTAGAGGGGAAAAAATCAGTCAACAGAACAGATGCAAAAATTACAGAAATGATAGATAGGATCAGCTATTTATAACTATGTTCACATATTCAAAGCAGAAAGAGAGTTATTTTAGTGACCGTTTTCTCAAGGATATATAGCTAGTACCATTCTAGATGCACAGAAGTGAATGTATTACATGGAATAGTTAAGGGGCATTAGACTCAATTCTGGGAACCAAATTGAGAGGGGCTAGGTAAGAGAAATACATAAACATAATGAGGAGAGAAACAGGAGATAGAAAAAAGAACCAAGCAGCCCTGGCTGGTATAGCTCAGTAGGTTGGGCATTGCCCCATGCACCAGAGGTTGCTGTGGTTTGATTCCAGTAAAAGACACATGCCCGGATTGCAGGCTTGAACCTGGTAGGGAGTGTGCAAGAGGCAGCCGATTAATGTTGTGCTCTTGCATCGATATATTTATCTCCCTCCCACCCTCTATTGAAAAATCAATAATCTATTCTTTTAAAAATAAAGCCTTGCTAGTCTTCTCAGTGGTTAACCATTTGACCTATGAATCAGGAAGTCATGATTTGATCCCTGGTCAGGGCACATACCTGGGGTTGCAGGCTCAATCCCCAGTAGGGGGCATGCAAGAGGCAGCTAATCAATGACTCTCATCATTGATGTTTCTGTCTCTCCCTCTCCTTTCCTCTCTGAAATCAATAAAAATATACATTTTTTAAAAAGAACCAAACAGAACTTCTAGATAAGAAAAAAAAGAATAAAATGAAAAATTCATTGGATGGGATTAATAGCAGACTAAACATTTATAGAAGGTTTGGGAACTTCATGATGGAGCAATAAAATTTATCCCAAGTGAAACACAAAGAAAAGAAGTAGTAAAGTGAGATAGCAAAACTTAATTTCCAGGCTGCTCTGCTACAAATCATCTACTCAGAATAAAATGCAAGGATTCCCATTAAGTCTGCATATTATCGATACTTAGAATCTTGCATCTGAAGTTATCCATAAGTAAAAAAAACTTTCCCAACTGAACGTGCTGACAAGAGTAAATGTGTTATCTTCCTGGGTAATAATTTCATTAACATTCAAATAAATGCATGTGCTTTCGCTTCAATGTTTGAAGCTTCATCTTCAGATGTAGTCCCTTCTCCCGTACAGTTGAAGTACCTGTCAGGGGCACATCACAGAAAAAGTTTAAAAAACACCGACTTAAGGAACTACTCAAAAAATCCCAAGAACAAACTATTTCACTTCAAGTTCACCTACTAAATGACCAACATTGACTTTTAGATTCAAAACCCCAAGGTACTGTTGGGAAGAGGCTTCGAGCTACTAAAGTACCGTATTTTTCGGACCATAAGACGCTCCGGACCATAAGACGCACCAGTTTTTACAGAAGGGAAATGAAGAAAAAAAGATTCTGAAACAAATAGTGTCCTAAAATATTTTATGTGCATTAAAACCCAACATCACAGTCATAAACACATGTAATCAACCCTGTAAAGTAAACAGCAGCATTTAGAACCATTTTAGAGCCGGGCAAGCACACAGAGACCACACAGAGCCGGGCAAGTAAAAAAACTTTTTTTTTAAAGTATATGTGTAGGCTATATTTGGACCATAAGACGCAGGGACTTTCCCCCCCCCCACTTCTGGGGGGAAAAAAGTGCGTCTTATGGTCCGAAAAATACGGTAAGTTTCCTCCAACGTTCACTCCTTCAAAAAACCGAGCTTTGGCCAACTTGGCTCAGTGGATAGAGCGTCAGCCTGTGGACTGAGGGGTCCCAGGTTTGATTCCAGTCAAGGGCACGTGCCTGGGTTGCGGGCTTGATCCCCAGTGGGGGACATGCAGGAGGCAGCAGATCAATGATTTTCTCTCATCATTGATGTTTCTTTCTCTTTCTCTCTCTCTTTCTCCCTTCCTCTCTGAAATCCATGAAGAACTATATTTAAAAAAAAGAAAAGAAACCACTGAAATAACAAGTCATCAAGCAGCATCTTGTGATCAATTTTAATTCCAGCACCTGAAACTATACAAGGGTACGCTTTATAAACCTCCTGGGACTGTTGTACACATTCAATAAAGTGACAACTGTGCAATACCACTTAGAATCTCAAAATCAGGAACAGACTTTTGAATTGTTTAAACACAATCCACAGAATTAAAAACGAAATCAGAATCCACCCACAGTTATAATAATTGTCCATTTAAAGGTTTACAGGTACTACCGGACAAACAAACAGTCAATATCTAGCGAGACGGTGAGGGTGATTTCAGATCCTCATCCTGCTGTCCCTCCTGGGCAGGTTTCTTGGGCAGCTACGTGACTGGCCAAAGACTGCCACAACCAGGACCAGAAGAGCAAGTCAAGTTCCACCACAGTTCCTGTAGTTTTCACTTTTTTTTTTCTTTGTCAGTTAAAAGTGAACAGTGAGAATTAAATACTTATCTTTACATATGCACAAGATATGCTGTGAAAGCATAATTGCTTACAAACATATAAAAATACTTGTTAACTAGTTTGATAAGAAAATAATGTATAAAAGTATATAGCAAAAACATTAATCATCTCTGACCCTGGAAAGATCAATTCCTTATTTTATATTACAACAAAAACAGTTTTAGTTTTTTTGAACCCCCTTATCCAGAAATACTTACAAAGGAAGACACACATAAATTCTTTATTTTTACTCTGAACATGGTTGTGAAAAGAGTGAAATTAGAAAACCAAGACCACTGAAATGCCTTAGTCCAGGAGTCCAAATATTTGGCCACACAGAATCATCTTTAAGAGCAGGAGTAATAATAAAGGCTTTTTAAAGCAGTTTTTAATTTATAAATACAATAGGCATTTTGGTATTTTGGCCACTGGAAAACAAAGACTATAGCATTAGTACAGGTCTGAGATGTCTCACTTTTGAGGATTCGATTCAGTGTATTTAAGGTAACTAAAGGTGACATAAGAAGTTTTAGAGAGAGGCAAAAATTCACATTAAAAAAAAAAACAAAAAACTCCCTATGCTTCTATTTAGATTAACAGTAGGCAATATGATTCCAGACGTTAAAAGTTATTTCAAAACCCATGATTTCAGCTTGGCAAACAGCTTAGGTTCCAAATCTGATTCATCCCTATTAAAATGTAAGCCCTTAAAAAGAATGTGTCTGTTTATACAGTTATATCTTTTGAAATAATCAGAAAACTTTTGAAGCAGCCTTAGTGTTTCCTTTCCATCTGTCTTGAGACTGCCATGGGGTCGGCCCCCCAGAAGTAGTCAGCCAGCTTCGTGGTCAGAGGCCCCCGCCGTGGTCACTGGTCTAAGGCTTGAAAGGTACCATCGTGCCGTCACCGTAAGGAGAGAAGGCGAGGGCTTTCCTGGCAGTTGGCAGCTATAACTGAAGGGATTCTTAGAAAATGACACAATGGCAGCCTTTCTTGTCTTTTTCTTTCCGCGTTGGCTCTGGTGAGGGAGGACATTCCTGCTCCTGAAATTTCCTGTAAGACAGAAAAATCTACCTATAAGTCTATAAAATCTACATATGCCTTCTTCGTAATATATTACAAATGCAGGTTATTTTTTGTTAAATCTAGGGAATGTGCACATGCTTTTCAATGCTAAATTTCACCTAGGGAAGGAAAGCAAAACTTGGGGGGAGCAGTGCCCACAAATACTTTAGTACCAGCATACCAGGCTGTCCAAGCTTCTTCATTAATGGGTGAGATGCTGAACCCAGTGCCTCTAAATTCTCTTCACAAATTAAAGTTCCATGACCCCAAGGTATTCTTAAAATAAGTATGCATCACTACAGCACAGTATAAAATTACCCTTATGAGGTATTTATCCATGTTCCTATCCAAGTCCTACTAGCTACTAATCAGTATTAGACAAGCTAGTTGACCTCTCTGAACCTCCATGTTTTAGAAGGGAATAATAAAAATTCACCTTTTACAGTTGTTATGAGGATTAAAGATCATGTTATGCTTAGTTATTGTTTCATTCCTCACCAAGGATATTTTTTCATTGATTTTTAACAAGTGGAAAGGTGGGGAAGAAAGAGAGAGAGAGAGAGAGACATCAATGTGATATCGATACATCGATTGGCTGCCTTCTGCACGCACCCCAACTGGGCCACGGATTGAGCCTGCAACCAAAGAATGTGCCCTTGACCAGAATCGAACCCAAGACCTATCAGTCTGAGGGCTGACACTCTAACCACTCAGCAAAACCAGTTAGGGCTGTGTAGCGTTTATATGCCTAATAGAACCTACCATTAGAAAGCCTGCCCTACCCTCTCCTCACTCCTGAGGGATGGATGGATATAGACAGATTCTGAGGATCAAATCCAAAGACAAAATTTTTCAAAAAAGGCGGTAAAAATTATTTTTAAGGACTAATTCATCTCTCTGTACGTTACAATACATATGACATAAAATTTACCATCTTATCCATTTTTAAGTGTCCAGTTCAATGGCATTTAAAAATATTCATATTATACTGCTGAAACCAGTTTGGCTCAGTGGATAGAGCGTCGGCCTGTGGACTGCAAGGCCCTGGGTTCGATTCCGGTCAAGGGCATGTACCCTGGTTGCGGGCACATCCCCAGTAGGGGGTGTGCAAGAGGCAGCTGATCGATATCTCTCTCTCATCGATGTTTCTAACTCTCTATCCCTCTCTCTTCCTCTCTGTAAAAAATCAATAAAAATATATTTTTTTAAAAAATTCATGTTATATAACTATCACCACTATCCATCTCCAGAAATCTTTCCTCTCACAATCTAGACTCTGTATTCATTAAAAAATAACAGGCCTCAGATTTTTAACAAACTAGTAAAAAAAAAATATAACCTTTACCTCACCGCCTGTCCTCCACAGACAACGCTCAGGCAAGGGCTAAAAATTACGAGAAGTTCAGATATCAAGTCAGCTTACTGGTAGATACACAATTAACCTGAGCCCACTCCACAGACCTGTCAAACTATCGAACTAGCAGAACCCAGTAGATCTAGCGAGGGGGGGTGTGTAGTAGGGGCCAGCCACAGACTCAAAATCACCAAATCAAACCCTGCTCAAGAAAGTACCTCAATCTCTTCTCACACACTAACATATACAGAAACTCCAGTGGACTTCACCCAGCACCTAAGCTTCCTGGAACCCATTAACACTTTGTGAACCACGGGGGCCAGCTAACAGAAAGACTCTTTGTAGTCTCGATTACACTCTGTGACCCATGGGGACACTCAGTATCTATCACTTGCCTATTACTCTTTGCTGGGAGGAGCTGGGTAAGAAGCAAAGCTAAGGGCACAGTCTGGACTCAGAGCTGTGGATTCAAGTCCCAGTTCTGCCATTTAATATGCCCAAACTTTGAACAAGTTAGTTAACCTCTCTGCACCTGTCTCCCCATCTGAAAGCGGGGATAAATGAAAGTATTTGACTTACAGGATTGTGGTGAGGATTAAATATAATAATACACGTAAAGCACTTAACCCAGCATCTGCCAGGAACTACCCTTAAATGCCAGCTGCCGTCATCACTATCCTCACACCACTACCTTGGGAAATTGCATAGATTCTTTTCAATATTCCTATGTGGCCTCTCTACTTCAATTTAATTAAGTTAGGGTTCATATGTAGAAAATACCTAGAATATAAAATGGACCTAATTAAAATTCTTAGGACATGTGTATTAATCCCCAAATCAGAATCATTTCTACATACAATTTCCCTTCTTACTAAAAAAAATTTAATGGTACCCACCCCGTTAACGGTTTTGAAAAGCATGGTGTGATTACCTGTCAAACTCAGTAAATTAAAACAAATTTCTAGAATATATCTTGCTTACCTTATAACCCGGACAAGTTCATGGAAAGCTTGATCTACATTCATCCTAATCTTTGCAGATGCCTCCATGTAAGTAACCTTCAGCTGTCGTGCTAACTGCTGCCCTTCTTCCTGAGTTACCTGTAATTCCAAGAGTAGTGTATGAGGTACTGTGTTAACAGTGAGATCCGCTCCATCTAACCCTCAGCCACGGCTGCACTGCTAATCCACCCAGAGGCCAAGCTGGTCTGTCACAAAAGGACTTAACAGCTCAGCACACACTGAAGCCCAGCTCGGCAGAACACAGGAGCCCACGTCTGTGACAAGGAGCACGACTTCAGTCTAGAGGTTACTCAGAAAGTATTAAACACAAGAGTGATAAGTCTGGGAAGGTAAAGGCCAAGATGCTATGAGAATCTGTAACCCTGTCCGGCTGGTCAGGGAGAGCCGCCCTGAGGAAGTGACACTTAAGAACTAAATAAAAAATACGGAGCTAGCTGCAGGTGGGGTGAGGAGGTATCCCTGACAGAGGAAAGAGCACCCTGGAGCAAGGGCCGCAGTGGGGAATGTGCTTTCCAAGTTCCAGGAACAGAAAGCAGCTAAGATTGGCTGGATTCAGCAAACCAAGAAAGAAAAGGACCAGAGGTGAGCAATGGGGAGGAGGACAAGCCTCAGGCGGCTTGGGGTCTTTTTCACTTCTGCACTTCCCAGTACCGGTCCATAGGAGATGCTCCACAAACAGGTGGGAAAATGAACGATGAATACGACCACGAGCCTCTGCAATGCCTTTCTTACATTAGGAGGGAAAGGAAGGCAGGCAAGGAAGGGTGCCGGAGCTGAGGACAGGTAGGCCAGAATAAGGAAACATTAACTGAACTAAGTAAATACCTTATCTATTTTAAATGTAAAAGGTCAGACCAGTGATATTTGCCCAAAATTATTAAACCATATAACATTTACATTTATATAGTGGGGCTGAAAAGGTATGTTTTTGAAAAAAGACTTTATTGCTGTCACTATCACAAAAGTGAACACTTGTAGAAAAGTTAGAAAAAAAGATACGGGAAAAAAGAAAAGATTAGGAGCCTGTCATCCATAGGGAACTACATTCTTCTCCCTTTTCAATGACATACCTTTTTCTCTACAAAAATAAGATCATAACTTCTATGTATTTGTGCTACACCCTGGAAACACGCTAACCTCATTTCTCTAGGTGTTCTTTGGTATTAGCCTTTCTACATAAACAGCTTATGTCCTTTGCTAATAAGAAGTTTTATTGCTTCCTTTCTGACGTGGATGCCTTTTCTTTCTTTTTTTTCTGGCCTTAGCTCACTGCCTAGAACCGCCAGTACAATGACATCTGTGGTGTGAGGGATACTCCTGACTTGTTTCTGATCATAGTGCCAAAGCATCTGACCTTTCACCATTACATGTGCTATTTGTTGCAGGTAGGGTTTTATGTATCTACTCGAGGCCTGGTGCACAGGTTCGTGCACTGGTTGGGTCCCTCAGCCTGGCCTGCAGGGATCGGCCCAGAACTGGCTCTCAGATGTACCCCGAGGGGTCCAGATTGGGAGAGAGCACAGGGTAAGGCTGAGGAACCCACCAGGGCACAATCAAGGCTGGGAAGGGACCACAGGGGGACTCCAGGGCGTGTCCAGCCCACCTCTCCCAGTCATGATTGGCCGGACCCCAGCAGCAAGCTAACCTACTGGTTGGAGCATCTGACACCTGGTAATCAGTGAGCATCATAACGACTGGTCAAACGGTTGGATGAACGGTCAAACACTTAGCATATTAGACTTTTATTATATAGGACTAGAGGCCTGGCGCATGAAATTTGTTCCTCAGCCCAGCCTGAACCCTCTCCAATCTGGGACATCCCTCTCACAATCCAGGACTGCTGGCTCCTAACTACTTGCCTGCCTGCCTGATTGCCCCTAATCACTTCTGCCTGCCAGCCTGATCACCCCCTAACCACTCCCTTGCCAGCCTTACTGATGCCTAACTGCTCCCCTGCTGGCCCGATCATCCCCTGCGTCCCCTGCCGTCCCGATCGCCCCCAAATGCCCTCCCCTGCTGGCCTGTTTGCCCCAACTGCCCTCCCCTGCTGACCTGATTGTCCACAACTGCCCTCCCCTGTGGGCCATCTTGTGACAATGTGGGGGCGGCCATCTTGTGATGTGAGGGCATCGTGCAAGGACCACCCAGGTTTTTATTATAGATAACAGCAGAGATTTCAGCATCCCTCTCTCAATAATTGACTGAGCAAGGAGAAAGAAAATCAGTAGTGAATAGATGGCCTGAGCCACACTATCAAAACACCTTATGCTAATCGACATGAGATGTCCTTTGTCATCAAGCTAACCAAGGTCCTCACTATTCCATTTGCAAAGTGTTTTCATCAGGAATGAAAATTGGATTTTGCCGAATGTTGTTTTCTGTGTCTATTGAGATCATATGATTTTTTCTTTTTTAGTTTGTTGATATGGTAAATTATATTAATCATTTCCACATTTCAAATCAATATTGCATCCCCCACTTAAGGGATGATTCATTGTCTTTTCCATATATTGTTGAATTCAATTTGTTACCATTTTACATTTAAGTTCATGAGAGATGTTGGTTGTAGTTTTCTTACATCTTTGTCTGGTTTTAGTATCAGAACAATGTTGCTTCATATGATGAGTGGGACAGAATTCTCTCTTCTTCAATTTTCTGGAACAGTTTCAGCAAAATTGGTTCTATATAATTCACTAAAGGTCCCATCTAGGTTTGTTGTTTTATTTGAGGGAAGGTTCTTACACTAAATTAAATTTATTTTATCCATACAGTACTGCTCAGATCATTTTTTCTTGAGTGAGCTTTGGTAATTTGCACCTTCCAAGCAATATGTCTGTTTCATCTAATATGTATAAAGTTATCAGTTTATTAGTGTAGTTGTTTATGGTATTTCTTCATTATTTCTTAAATATTTATATATCTATAAAATCTGAAGTGATGGTGTCTTTCCCATTACTGATGTTGATAATTTGTGTCTTTTTTCCTTTTTACCATTCTAGCCGTATTTGTCACTGATCTTCTAAAAATCAGTTTGGGGTTTTTTCCCGTGTTTTCTATTTCATTGCTTTCCATTCTTACCTTTATTGTTTCAATTCTGATTAGTATGAGTTTAACTTACTTTTTCTTTTAGTTTTTAAGGTAGAAGTCACTGCATTGAGACCTTTCTTTCCTAATAAAAGCATTTAGTCCTATAAACTTCTTTATATACTTCTTCAGTAGCTCCCACAAATTTTGATATGTTGTTTTAATTTTCATTCAGTTTATAATGCTTTGTAATTTCCCTTTGGGTGGTATTTTTTTTTTGTATCAAAGATTAGAAGTATGTAGTTTCCCCATAATTAGAGATTACCTAGATATTTTTTTATTTCCAATTTAATTTCACTATGGAATTAAAACAAAACATGTTGTCTCATTAGAAATCCTTTAAATTTATTGAGATTTGTTCTATGATCCACTCTCATTTCAAAAGAATGTGCATTCTTCTACTGTTAAGTGCAGTGTTCATTAAATGTCAATTAGGATAAGTTGTTTGAGAATGGTGTTCAAGATATATATACATATCGCTATTGATTCTTTTTCTGCATCCTCGGTCAATTATTAAAAGAGGGGTGCTGAAATTTCTGACTATTAGTATAAATATGTCCATTTCTCTTTGTAGTTCTTTCAATTTTTGCTTCAAGAATTTTGAAGCTGCTATTAGGTACATGAATATTTAGGACTGTCATGTTCTCTTGATGATTAACCTCTTTATCATGATGACACAATCCTCTTTATTCCTGGTAATATTCTTTTCCATAAAATCTATTTTGATATTTATAGAGCCATTTCAACTAATTTTTTTAAATGTTTTTATTGATTTTTTAGAAAGAGAGGAGTGAGAGAGAGAGAGAGAGAGAGAGAGAGAGAGAGAGAGACAAACATCAATGTGAGAAAAAAAACATCGATCAATTACTTCCTGCATGCCCCCCAACAAGGGAACTCATACGTATGCCCTGACCAGGAACTAAACTGGCGACTTTTTGGTGCACAGGATGATGCTCAACCAACTGAGCCACATTGATCAGGACCAAATGTTTTTTCATTAGTGTTAGCATGGTATATTTTAGCCCAACCTTTTATTTTTAACCTAATTGTGTCTTCACATTTAAAGTACATTTCTGGTAGTGTCTTGATTTGTTTATCCAACCTGACAATTCAATTCTGTCTTTCAATTGAGGTGTTCACACTATTTACATTTAATGTTATTGTTGAGTCACCTTGAAATTTGTTTCCTGTCCATCCTATTTTTTCTTTGTCCAACTTTTCCTTTTTCTGCCTTGCTGTGGATTAACTATATTTTTTTAGTGATTCCATATTATGTCCTATGTTGATTAATGAGCTGTATACTTATTATGGTATTTTAATGATTGTTTTAGAGTCTATAATACACATTTTATTTCATTCATCGCAATCTAATTCAAATTACATTATACCACTTCATGTGTAGTTTTAAGAACCTTATTACAAAATGAGTATGTTTCTCCCTTCTGCCTTTTTTTTATTACCTTTTACCTCACAATACATTGTTATTATTCTTGCTTTAAACATCCAATTATGTTTTAAAGAGATTTAAATAACAATAAAAGTAATTTATATTTACCCACATAATTACCATTTTTGGTACTCTTCATTTCTTTGTATAGATCCAGATTTCCATTTGGTATAATTTCTCCTTTTACATTTCTTATAATGCAGGTCAGCTGGTAATGAATTCTTTCACCTTTTGTATACCTGGGTAAAGTCTTTTTTATTTTTTTTCCACCTTAATTTTTGAAATGAATGTTTAGTGGGTACTGAATTCTAGGCAACAGTTTTTTCTCTCAGTACTTCAAAGACGTTGGGCCACTCCAGTCTAGTTTGCATTGTTTCCCAGGAGAAACTATGATGACTGGTCACATCTTTATCTTTACTCCTCTTGTCATTTTTCAGATTCTCTCTTTATCAAGAGTTTTAAACAATTTCATGATAATATGCCTTGTTGTCATTTTCTTCATACTTCTTGTGCTCATGGTTTGCTGAGCTTCTTAGATATACAAGTT